AAAAAAAAAAAAAAAAAAAAAAAAAAAAAAAAAAAAAAACATACGGTCGAATTGAATACCTCCTTCTTTTGGGAAGTCGGTCAAAAATAGGCACTTTTCTTTTTTAATTCTACGCAGATTTCCTTATGTTTGTTTTCATTATAATATCAAAAACAGCAATAAACGATTCTAATATCGATATATCCTTTAGCTCACCTGGAACGAATATAAACCATAAATTCGTTTCCGTTGACGTCACATTATCGCAGTCGTGGACGCGTTTTCATTACTTTTTTTTAGAAAGCTCTTACAGGAAAGTTGGCAAAATGCGCAAAGAAACACATCACGCTAAAAACCATCTTATGTCACTGCTGATACAGTTTATTTTGGATCGTAAGCAATTAGTACCTGTTATAACATTTTATGAAATTATGCTGTACGTTGCCCTGACAGGTAGCGTTTTCAGTTAATTAGTGCACTACGAATATTTTTTGCACAAGGTTCGAATGCAACTTTGAATGGTGCTTTTTACCCGAAAGCTTGTTTACTTCCGGTATAGTGTGGTTACCCTTGATTCCGCTTTACCGGTTATTTGATTAAATGTGATTCAAAGGAACTGGGTTGGCGGTTCCATTTGCCAGTCCGGGGTAATATTAACTTTGTGTACCCGCCATTTTAATTATGCAACTTTATTGGTTGCGTTTTTTCCATTTTATGTAACCGTGTAATTTAAATTTACGCTGGTATTTGTACGATGAAAAGCGTATAGTATTAATTAATACAATTAAATCTTAAAGTAAGGCCACATCTAGTAACTTTACATCAGCGTACTTTTCTTTTAACTTTAGTGAGAAGTGGTTGAATTTTTCTTTTTAAAAAGTATTCCACAAACTCAAAACCCTCTAATGGAAGGAGTCATTAAATATTCATCGACTTATAATTTATCTTACTTCCCGATTGTTCTCGATTACAAATCTTTCAATCGGAAAGTTTTTTGTACAAATCCTAATGAAGGATAATCATAAAAGACATAAATAATATTATTTCTACTTTCCACTTTAATAATTCTGAAACGTATTCTTTTTTACGACTTTTGATTATAATAAAAACATGCGGTTTTTATAAAACCTCTGTAAATAATTTGACAAATGACAAATCATGTTGAAAGTTCAAATTGTCAGTACAAAAATATACACAAAGAAATAATTTACAATAGTGAAGAAAACTTTAATTTATTAATTACTTCTATATTGAAATGGCAAACTACCCTTACAGTTATCCTGCACAATTCTCACCTATATTACCCCCAACCGCGGAGTATGGTAACCAGGGTGACGGTTACAGAGACTATTATGAAATGGGACAGTTAAAGGAAGATCGAGATCTCAAAAGGTATTTAAATATGTAAATCTCATCTCCTCAGCCATGTGATGCCCACTATAGGCCTCCTCCGATCTTCATACTGATCGGTCCTATGCGGTTTTAAATCCAGGATAGTCCCGCAATTTTAATCAGGTCATCGGTCCATATTGCGGGAGGTCTACTCACGATGCATTGTATCTTCTTCTTCTTCGTATCTTCATTGCTGAAGGTCGTGCTTCATGCGTTGTATAAACCTATTTAATTATTTGTGAATTTATAAATTCTTATGAGTTTCAGAATAAGAAATGAAGTTTATTTACAATCACGTATAAGGCAATGTTATTTATAAGATTTCGATAAAAAAATAGTTTGATACCAATTTAGGCGTAAACTAGCTTTTTACCGTGACTCAGTCCGCGCAAAATAAAATAAAAAATACTTAGTAAGTAGCTTATGTGTTTTCCCAAACTATGTTCTACATCTATGCCTATCTAGATCTGTAGTTAGAAACATCCATCCATCCAAACTTTCATATTTATAATATAAGTATGAAGTATAACTAAACCATATTAGTGTATTACATTTTTGTACTTTGTTCTTTCGTTACTTAGATTTATTTATATGCTATTGATGTAAATTAATTTTAAACTATGAATACGCCCAAAGGATTAAGTATTTTTCCAACTAAATTCAGTCATAAATTACAAAAAAATTGTAAGAGCTCAAACTAAAATCAGTATCAAATGCGTGAAAACTGCACCAGTTAAAAAGTTGAAATCAGAATTAAAAAGTTCTACCAGTGTTTGTGTTAAAGCTTTTAAATGCTTTATAAACGTACTGAATAGGAGCTTTCCTCGTTTCATGTTTTTATTCTTAGGTTATGAATTTATTATAAATAAAAAACACTCATTACTACCGAGACAGATAGGTACATAATCTTACTAATATTATAAATGCGAAAGTTTAGATGGATCGATGGATGGATGGATAGATGGATGGATGCTTGTTAGCGTTTGTAGCCTAAACGACTTAACGGATCTTCATGAAATTTGGCACAGGTTTAGAACATAGTCTGGAAGAACACATAGGCTACTTTTTATCCCGGGAATAGTTACGGTTCCCGTGGGATTCATTAATTTAGTTTTTTAATGTTTACTCGATCATTCCGCAACGGTTCAACATATCTTATTGAAATTTGGCAAAGATATAAAACAAAGTCTGGAGTACGCATGGGATGAGCTTCATCCCCGAGAAATGTCCGGTTCCCGAGGGATACGTAGCTTTTTGTAATTTTTATAGTTTGTATGTTTTCTAATACCACGCGTACGAAGTCGCGGGCAACAGCTCGTATTATTATATTTTTAAGAGCGGTCGCACATCGTTGACTAACCTATCACATAACGGTTGTGCGATTGTCGATTGTTTCGCAGCTAATTCAACTGTTTACTTACACAACTAAAAATCGAGTAGTGTGCGCAACTCCATATAAGCAATCAAAGCGAGATTAAATAGTTGTGCGATAGTTTAGTCAAAGGTGTGCGAGACACTTGACAGTGACAGACAGACAGACTTTGACAGTGGTAGTGCCCGCTTCAACATCTTAGCACTGTAGGGCCGGCACGCCCGGCGTAATACCATGACCACACAGAAGACAGGCGTGAAATGAAAGCCATTCCGTGTTTCGTCTGATGAGTGTGGTGCCGGAGGCCTAATTTAAGCCCCTTTACCTCTACCACCCTTTTCTTATAAGGAGGATGGGAAGAGGAAGTGGATTTGATGGTGGAGGAGATGCATAGGAAGGGCAATATCCTCTTTATGTGTGTCTCCTCCTCCGTAAGGGTAGGCAACGCATCTGCGATCGCGGATGTCTATGGGCAGCGGTCGCTTCGCCATTTTGGCGGATTCAGGTGGCCGCTTGCTCGTTTGCCACCTTTTGTTATAAAAAAAAACACTTAATAGTATCTATATATCTATTTACAGAGTGGGAGAAAGAGTAAATCCCAAACTTCTAACACACCTTTTCCTAATGTATGTATCTAATGCTTTTCTCAGGACAGGACGACACCATCGTACAGGCAAGGCGCGTTCCCGGTCTGCGAGCAGGACCGGCTCGAGTTCCCGGTCTCGAACACACTCGAGATCCAGATCAAGGTCCCGGAGTCGCTCGCCTAGCTGCACCACCGGCCGACAACACGACCTTAGTCTGAAGGAGCCCGGGATTCTAGATGCTTTTAGAGTTTTATACCTCACACGTAAGGGTGAAATTATTTTGTTGAATGAGTAAGGTACTTTATCACCAACTCCCCTACCTTGTTCTACTCCTGTAGGGTCAGTGCACCAAGTTATTTCCTCCAAATAACTTTATCATCGGCAATCTCAGTCATCACTCCCTTCTTGATCATGTCATTTTTCACGCAATCCATTCATCTCCTTCTAAGTCTACCTCTACCGCTGTAACATTCCCACTCCTCAACGTCCCTCTGTTATATGTAATTCATCCTTCCTCATAACATGCCCATACTTTGCTAACCTAACTTATATATAGGAAAGATAAGTTAAAGACATAGAGAATAGAACAATTTAAGAAAATTCGGTTTAGAAGAAAGCGATGTAAGAAAAATTGGTAATTTTTCATAAAAGAGTATCTATTTACAGCCAGTAAACATAAGAAGAGCGCAACCAAGTTCCTCGCAACGAAGAAACGACAGGACCAGGTACAAGAGATTCTTAAAAAGGATAGATTTGGTTCGAAGAGATGGTTCTTCTATCCCCGGCAGCTGACGCAAAGCGACACTACGACGTCGTTGCCTCAACGAGAGAACTCCGATCAACGATTCAAAGTCGACGCAAACTTCTTTAGGAAATACAAGCGGAGTAGGAAAGTGGACAATGACGCTCCGATTATGAAACTCAAAAGATGGGAGTTAGTTTTTTATAAGAAGCTTGGTTTTATACAAGCCGTTTGATATTTAATTATTTGCTATTTATCTATTTAAGTTTTTCTAAAGATGACAATAATTTTGTAGGTTACATTAAATTTTATCCCAATATGTTTATAGATTCTCTTATTTAATTCTCAAGCAATGTCTCTTGAAACTTAAAGGATAAAGTATTATTATTAGTCTGTAGTAATAATATTTATTAATATTATTTCGCGCTCCACTTGCTAAAATACCAGGCTATGAGAAGTGTTTAAAGAGTCATCGTAAACATAAATCGGGCCGGTGCGGGCGGTTGCGGCCGCTGTGTAATGGGCCGTCTAAAAAGCAGGAAAACTTTTAAATTAGCGTCGAATCGTGGAGTTATCGCGTGGAAAATTGACACTCGAGCGAAACTACGGAGGTGTGCCGAGCCCGCTACTCCAACTATTGCGTTCTGTTGGCTTGCGTTTCTTCCGATTGCTTTCATCTTGTGAAGAGTCAATGGTTTTTTATTCGAAATCAAATTTATAGTTTGATATGACTGATGTAAGAGTGAAGGTTGATTTTTATTACATGTAGGCTCAATTATTAGTAGAATTTCTAGTGTAATGGCTTCCTATGTATGGAATAAGAATTTTGAAATAATGCTTACCATTCTTGTACCAATGCCAAGCCGAGTCTATGTCGAGCTAGTTTTGCACTGGTATGAACTAATATCGATTAAGTGAAATTTGAAAAAGATCGGTAAGCCGGGTGTTCGGGGCACATAATGTGGAGAATTATCATTTTCCGATGCTAATGCCCCATCCAGCTCGTATAATGCAAAAATAAATTGAGACCAGTCGGAAATTCAGTTCCAGGGTAAGTTTAAAGTCGAAAAGATATAGAAATTTATATTTCGATATCTTTTATTTAGTTAATTCAAAAAGTAACGACTTAAATTAGTTCGTAGCCTTAATTAGGAATTTCAAGTTATCATTGATTAGCTTTCGCCCGCGACTCCGTATTTGTGGTATTAAAAAAAAGAAGCACGTGTTCCAGGCTATCCTCTACATCTATGCCAAATTTCATCGAAATCCTTTTAGCAGTTTAGACTACAAACTTTAACAAACATCCATCCATCTAAACTTTCGCATTCACAATATTAGTAAGATAAGAAGTAAAAAAAGATTATGAATAAACTTGCTTACGTTTGAAATTGTTAAGAAATTACGCTTCAAATGTAGATAGTACCTTATTCCGACATAACACGATAAAACACGTGTACGCAAATACAACTCTGTAGAAAAAATATCCCTCAAAAAGCAGACCTCGTCGAAATATTTCGTTCGTTATAATTTTAATTCTGCCCTCACTTTCCTTTGCCCAAGGGAGCGGAGAGCAGGGGTCTGAAATCTTTTTATATTTGCATTCAACTTGAATACCCGACTTGGGCTTTTAAGTAATTGCTTGCACTTTTTGTTTGAGAAAAAAATATAATAACTGAGAGTTCATTTTCGCTTGGTCTAACATTTGAGAATTTGTTTAACGTGGTTTAAAATTGTAAGAATTAATGTTATGGTGACTTTATGTTGAGATGTTTGAAACATACTATGTTATAGGGTTTTGAAAATTAGGGACAACTTATAACTCTCACTCTCATCACCAGCTCACTATATGTCCCCACCGAGGGGCTCGGAGCCTACCCTAAGTAAGGGCGACTAGGCCATAGTCAACCACGCTGGCCCACTGCGGGTTGGACGACATCACACATATCTTTGAATTTCTTCGCCGATATGTGCAGGTTGCATCACGATGTTTTCCTTCACCGTAAGAACGTCGGGTTAATTATGTGCATATAAAAAGTTCGAAAATCACATTGGTACAGCGGGATTCGAGCCCAAGACCTGTAGATTACAAGTCAAGTACTTAAACCACTGAGCCACCGACGTTCTCTCTCTCGTATAACTCTTATTTATATTTAAACGTATGTAGAAACTATAAAAAAACTTTTTTGCATACAAGACTATTACAGTCCAATAAGAATCAAAGCTATTCGCATTATCGTGTACGGCATCTATTTTTTTTTTTCTATATTTAATTGAGTAAAATGTAATGTTCATTAACAATACACATTACCGTTTCGTCTCAATGTCACCAACCCTCCTATTTCGCCCCTACGTCGTAGCAAAATAAAAAACATTAGATATTTACACTTGATTAGTCCCCACCCTTTCCCCGGACTAATACGTTTAGTTAAATGACCCCTGGAATCGTTAAAAAGGTCCCCGACGAGATCGGGCCCCAAATTAATGACCCCAGTTCGGCTTTTTATAATCAGCAATTAAGCAAACAAAATAATTTGCGGACAATAGCATTTTAAATTAACTTCAAATGAAATTTATATTTTAAAAATCGTATAGTATTGTTTCGTTATTTTGATTATATTTATACAATTTGACTGTCTGGTCATTGCATAACCTTTGTTTGAAACAAAATTACAAATAAGGCAATGAAAGGCTTTATCAAAGCAATTCCAACTAACCATAACACCGCTATTGTTTGGGCGCGGAAACGCCTGCCCGTTTCAAATAGCAACATCTCGAATAAAATTCATATTGCTCCTTTTACAGGCGCTTAACGAAGCGTACCCGTTATCCCTTTGTCTCAAATTATGAGGTAAATTTGGCGTAAACACTTTAAAACAGGCCTCGTAATAATGTTTTAGCTGGAACTATCGAAACGCATCGAGAATTTATATTGTCTGAATTGAAACGAAATTACTTGTAACAAGGTTTGTATGACGGGTGGTCTTAGTTCCTTTTGTTTAATGTCGAAGATATTACGTTGTCTAGATATGGCTACAATTTTTTTTAACAATGGACAATCAATACAAAAGTTTCACAAGTATATCATTTCTGAATTTTATATTTAAAATGAATACTTTTGTGTTTGTTACACTCATTTTCCAAAAACCTTTTAAACTGGACAATCTCTACGAAAATGTTTCCAGTAGATCTCAAATATCGTGTAGGTCTTTGGCTATTCCCTTAGGTAATTTGGATGCAGGGTAGCCTGAAGTTTTGTGCACGTTAGGGGTAACTATTTCAAATATGTACTCTGCATTCCTTAATAGTCACCTGGAGGGCAAGAGGGAGCTATTGTTAGAACAATATATAATTCAAGAGTTGGGGGCTTTGAATATTGAAGTAAAACTTGATGTAAAATCTTACTGGTTTTTTAAATTAGTTTGTTTCATTTCATGACTCTGGTTGTCGCGTAGATTGTCCCTAGATTCAAATAGCATGATATTGTAGATTTAAAACTTTTTTTACTTAAATAACGGATTTTTTTTATCTATTAACTAGCTGTTTCCATGCGACTTCATCCGCATGAAATTATAAAAATTTCATTTTATTTATTGATAATTGGACAAATGTAAAATTTGTCCAAATATCAATTGCAAATGTCAAAATTTAACCCTAAGTTTAATGGCGTGAAAATAAATAGCCTAAAGCGTGACGTAAGTTTAGGGATTTTTATTAAAAAAAGAGTTATTCGAAAATATGCTGTGATTGCTGACATCTTAGGCAACAAAGAAATGTATGTTTACGCTTTATTATAATAGTATATATATTTAAATGTAATAGTGTAGATTAAAGAATGGATGTTTGGTAGAGTTTGTAGCCTAACCGCTGAAGGGATCTTGATGAAATATGGCATACACATAGAGGACAGTCTTGTAGGACTTAGGCTACTTGCTTTTGTTTCTTTAAGATTCCTCGCGGACGGTGTCGCGGGCGAAAGCTAGTCTATAATATTAGTAAGATTTTATAATCATACCGTATCGTTAGATATTGTTCTCAGCCTGAGGCAAGGTGCGACTGCGATAAATTGAACGAAACGATTGTGACCCCCGAAATTATCGAGCCTGGCAGGGGATGATAAATGGGGTGGGCAAAAGTTGTACTTCCATAATCTACCGGCACAGAAATTAGATTTGTTTAATTTGAATCGCTGAATATTACGTTTAAAATTTCAACGAAGCTTCTTATTTATAACGACTTTTAAATTATAATGCTCTGATAATGGTTTGATTTATCGTTTTAAAATATTACGTCGTAATAAAAATATATCTATTGATATAAATAAAATCATACTTCATACTTAATATTATAAATGTGAAAGTTAAGACGGATGGATGGATGGATTTGTATTGGAGTTTGTAATCTTAACAGCTGAAGGGATCTCTATGAAATTTGGCATAGATGTAGAGAATAGTTTGGAATACACATAGGCTACTTGCTTTTGTTTTTTCTTATTCCAATATTTCACGCGCACGGTGTCGCAGGCGAAAGCAAAGAAATAAAACATAGCCTTTCCTAAGCGTTATTTTCAGAGGCACGAAGGGAGAAAGTATTCATATCTTCGAAAAGCATTTGTGTAGTCATTTGCTTATGATTCCAATGGGAAGTTAATTTTTAATTTTCCAAACCGTAACCACATGTGACCTTAATTCCTTTGTAAAAGAAAACCGTTCAATGAACAATTACAATAAATAGGGTTCTTATATAAAAGAGGTACTGAACGAGGCGCATCTGTTAGCTCGGGGCATTGTATGGGGAAATATTTCTTCTAACCATTGAGAATTAAAATAAGCTTTAAGAAATTCCATTTTAATAATAGGTATTCAAAATAGATCTAATTTCATAACTTAGAGTATTTGCATACTAGCTGTTGACAGCGACTCCATCCGCAAGGAATTAAAAAAATCTTTATCTATGCAAAATTACAACGACATCGGTATAGTCGTTTTGAAGATAAATAATAACAAACAAACATCCATCCAAATTGTAATATAAGTATGAAATATGATTGTTTAAGGGTATGGAGTCTACCGATTTTTTGTAACTTATAGCATAGCATTAGCTTCTAGCTGTGTCATGTTATTCCATTCAATATAAAGTTTTTCCAATAAAATTTTAATTCGGGATTTTTACCTGTAAAAATATGTTTTTTAATCCACACATTTTTATAGAAATAGATCAAATCTAAAAACGCGAATCTGAAGATATAAATCAATCGCGATATTTTTTCCTCTTTATAACAAAAACGTAAGTGTCCGGTGTAAGTTATG